ATCGCCATGGCGCTGCGATACTCACGAACAGCCACGTTCATACGCGTGTGTACATGTGTATGCGCTTTAGGCAAGCACGTGAAAGGCGTGGAGAAGGACAGCAAAGGGCGCCTGGTGCCGCGTGTGTGCGATCTCGCCGGAACCATGGACCCAACCAGGTCCGGTTGACACACACACACACATACACAAAGACACACATACAAACTCAAACACACTCAAACACACACACACACACACAAACACACACACACACACTCACACACACACGTGACTCCAACCTCACATTTGCCTGTGTGTGTGTCTGTGTCAGGCTTGCGACGACGGCTGTGGACCTGAACCTGAAGTTGATGCGGTGGCGGCTGATGCCGTCGGTCGATCTCGAGCGGATCGCAGCGACAAAATGTCTTCTTCTCGGCGCCGGCACCCTCGGATGCAACGTGGCACGCGCACTCCTGGTGAGGATGATGATGATGATGATGGTGGTGGTGGTGGTGGTGGCGACGATGATGGTAGCACGTGCTTGCACTTGTTTACCTCCTCCCTCCTCTCCACTCTCTCTTTGCACCACGACATCTCAACTACGACCATCACCATCATCATCATCGTCATCATCATCATCATCATCATCATCATCATCATCATCATCATCATCATCATCATCATCATCATCATCATCATCATCATCATCATCATCATCATCATCATCATCATCATCATCATCATCATCATCATCATCATCATCATCATCAACCAGGGATGGGGTGTTCGTCACATCACGTTTGTGGACAACGGCCGCGTGTCGTTCTCCAACCCGGTCCGCCAGTCCCTTTTCCAGGTGATTGGTGATCACGATGATGATAATGATGATGGTGGTGATGATGGCGATGATGATGTGCTTGGTATAGCGTTGTTGTTGCTGTGATGATAGTGTAATTGCGTGACTGTAAACGACTCCCACACATCGTGCGGCGCCACCGGCTGCAGTTTGAGGACTGCCTTGACGGCGGGAAACCGAAAGCCGAGACAGCCGCTCTTCGCCTTCGCCAAATCTTCCCTGGCGTGGTATGTGTATGTGTGTGTGTGTGTGTGTGTGTGTGTGTGTGTGTGTGTCTATGCACATGTGTGTGTCTATGCACATGTGTGTGTGCGCGGACCAATCATCTCATGCACCACCACCTCTGCCATCTCATCATCATCATTCCCACCACCATCACACGTGCGATGAGCAGACGACGCGTGGGATTGTGATGTCAATCCCAATGGCGGGCCACCCTGTCTCTCCTGCCGCTTTTCCCCAGGTGCTGGTGGCACGCCCGTGTGTGTGTGTGTGCGTGTGAGTGAGTGAGTGAGTGAGTGAGTGAGTGTGTGTGTGTGTGTGTGCGCACATGCACGTGCTGTCACTGTGACTCTGCGCCAGCATGCTCTGCCTGTCACGCGCCCATACACCTGTGCATCATACATATGTGCTTCGTTCACACGCACACGCACGCACACACACAGACACACACACACAGACACACGCACACACACAGACACACACACGCACACGTCCTCACTGTCCTCCCCTTACTTGCTATGTCACTGTCATTGTCATCGTCACCGCTGGCGTTGCCGTTGTCCATCAACACAACAGACGATGGCCAACACGCGCAAGCTGCAGTCGCTGATTTCCGAGCACGACGTTGTGTTTCTCCTCACAGACACACGCGAGGCGCGCTGGCTGCCAACCGTCATTGCAGCGGCAGAGAACAAGGTCGTGTGACCGGTGATGTGTGATGTGGTAACGTGTATGTGAGACAGGTGTTGCGTTGTGATGATGCGTTGTGATGATGCGTGTATGGGTGTGCTGTTTCAATGATATGTGTTTGTGTGTGTGTGTGTGTGTTTTGTGTGTTTGTGTGTGTGAATGGCTCATGATTCCATGCGGGCACGCGCGTGTGTGTGACTTGGGTGCTGCTCTGATTTCGTCATCTTTTCCGTTGCATGTTCATTGAGGGGTTTGCGCGATGGTCCCGCCGTGCTCATGCTTGCAAGCACGTGTCTCCTGACTGCCGTTGCTGGACAGGTGTGCATGACGGCGGCGCTTGGGTTTGACACGTATGTTGCCATGCGCCACGGGCATCCGAGTGGCCCATCAGGAAACATGACAACAGGCTGCTACTTCTGCAACGACGGCACCGCCCCTCAGAACGTGAGTTCCAGTTTGAGGTTTTGTGTGTGTGTGTGTGTGTGTATGTGTGTGTGTGTGTGTGTGTGTGTGTGTGTGTGTGTGTGCAATGTCAAGTGCTCGCATTCGCGTGTGTCTGCGGTGCTGCCGTCATCTCACTGCGACACCACCACCATTTCCACTCCATCCACCCCAACTTCACCACGAACACCAATCCCCCTTCCTCCACATCTCTCCCTTCTCCAGTCGACACGGGACCGCACGCTTGACCAGCAGTGCACCGTGTCGCGGCCGGGCGTGTCCATGATCGCAGCCGCCACCGTTGTGGAGCTCCTCATCAGCCTCATGCACCATCCACAGGGGTCAGCGGTTTGCACGTGGGAGGATGAAATGGTGGTGGTGAAGGTGGTTGTGGTGGTGCTTGAGGCAGGGAGTCGGGTGACATGCGCACGTAGACACACAGTTCACACGTGTTTGAATTGCGTGCAACGCATTGGTTCATCTCCTCTCCCAACTTGCTCTCAACCCCCGTCTCTCCCTCCCTCACCCCTGTCCCTCCATCACCATCTTCCTCCATCTTGCCTTGTAGGGTGACTGTTGGTCTGACGGACCCCAGCGACGACGACGCCAGCCCCATGGGCGCGGTGCCACAGCAGATCCGCGGCTCCGTGTCAGGATTCTCTAGCATGCTGTTTGCAGGGCACCCTTTCTCCCACTGCATTGCCTGCTCTCGCAAGGTGAGCGCTTGGCACTGTTGCAAAAGAAGGGCTCGGGAGGGTTTTGCATACTGGTCGTTTGGGGCCAATGAGTCGCAGTTGTAGCTCACAGACGCAACCCTCACAATAAACACACACACATACATATGTACATACACCCACACGCACACACACACGCACACACACGCACACGCACACACACACGCACACACACACACACACACACAAATGCACACAACCCTCACAACCCTCACAACACACACCCGCGTGCACGCAGGTTGTTGATCTGTGGCAAAGTGATCCGGAGCGGCTGCTGCGCGACGCCGTGAACGACCCGAAGCTGCTGGAGGACCTGACAGGCATCACGGAGATGAAGGCCCTTGTCGACAACCTTGCCGACATCGACATTGACATTGACATCAGTGACGATGAGGCTGAGGCGAACTAGGCGCAAGGTGGGGGGGGGGGGGGAACACCGCTTTGGCCAAGTCGCCTGCACTCAATTGTTGTTGGGCGCATGCGTAGTTGTGTGTGTGTGTGTGTGTGTGTGTGGTTGGGCGCATGCGTAGTTGTGTGTGTGTATGTGTGTGTGTGTGTGTGTGTGTGTGTGTGCATGTGCGTGTGTGTGTGCGTCTTCATTCCATTCCACCGTTTCCATTGCAACCGTGCCATGTCATGCCGCGCCATGCCGTGATGTTCGCCTTCAAACTGTTACATGTGTTGCTTGTGTTGTTGCGTCACATACGCACTGTTGTTGTGCTGTGAGCAACAGGGTGACCTGCGCGGTATCACATCAAATCACACCAGTAAACGTCGTTCACACACAGACACAAACACAGCACACACAGAACACACGATCCAGTGAGGCGCGAGAATGTGTTGGTGCTGTGGCGAATTTTCCCGACTTGCACCACCAAAGACAACCCAAACAAACAAACCCAGCCAACAACAACAACAGCAGCAGCACCCTCACATCGCTCGCCCAGAAACACTGCCTGCCAGTCATGGAGGTGGAAGGGGATGTCAACATCAGCAAACCACTGCCCAAAGGAGCCAGTGGCGATGGATTTCAAGTCCTCAAAGAAGGGTTTCTCCTGAAGACAAAGCGACTGAAAACCATCACCTCTGTCAAACAACGGTGCGTGTTTAATGTGTGTGTGTGCTTTAATTGTGCTCTGGTGTGTGTGTGTGTGTGCTGTGTGTGTGCTGTGTTGCAGTGGTGTTGTGTTTTGTATTCGCCCGTGTGCTCTCTCTCTCTCTGTCTCTGTCTCTGTCTGTCTGTTTGTCTGTCTGTCTGTCTCTGCCTGTCTCTCTCTCCCCCCCTCTCTCTCTCTCTGCACGCACATGTGGTTGTTGGACGCGCAGCAGTGTCGTGAACTGTTGGTTTTGGCAGTGCAACTGCCCGCTTGTACCCCTTTGCACCCCAATACCCACCACTTACGCACCTTAATTACAGGTGGTTTGTGCTCAAAAGAAATCGAGACACTGGCGAATGCATCCTCGAATGTGCGTGTTGGCGACGGCATTAGTGCTTCAGCGTGCCCCATGCGCCCACCCTCAGTGCGTTTGCTCGCCATCTCCACGCACGGCTGCCCGTTTTGTGCTTATCCCTTGCTTTGTGCCAAACTTGCCGGTTGTGCCTGTAGATTATGACGGGAAGGTGTTGCGGGGATCTGTGAACCTGAAAAACTCCCAGACCATCCCGAGACCAGGAAGTGCGCACTTTGAGGTGAGTACTTTGCTTGCCCATGTATTTGGTTGCCGATGAGTACGCTACGTTCACGTTCACGGCTACCACGTGCTTCGATTCGTGCGCGCGACGTCGGTCTATGGCTGATGCTATAGATGGGTTGTGGGTCGTTCAGCTGCTCACATCGCTGTCGCTGTCTCTTGACCAACAGATTCGGACACCGGGCCGCACGTACTATCTTGCAGCAGAACATGCAAACGTGTACCAGGCCATCAGCTGGGTGCAGGTGTGTGTGTGTGTGTGTGTGTGTGTGTGTGTGTGTGTGTGTGTGTGTGTGTGTGTGTGGGTGTGGGTGTGGGTGTGTGTGTGTGTGTGTGTGTGTGTGTGTGTGGGTTTGTGTGTGTTCTTCTAATGTCATTGCTGCCCG